TGGCTTCAATCTCCTTGAGGTTCCTTCTTGTTCGCATTACACTCTTTTGCAAAATAACCGAACTTTTGACAATTAAAGCGTTGCACCTTGATTTTTTTCAATCCTCTTCCTTTTACCTTTAAAGTTTCCTTGACCACCATTTTTGTTGCAACTACTTTCACCCTTCTGACAAGTCGAAATCTTTAAACTTTGGGAGTCTCTTCCACCAAAATTCTGAAAATTCTCTTTACTTTCATGGGTCATTTTCCTTTTGATCTCTTGTCATTCTTGTTAAAACAAGCTTGCAATGCAATCTCCTCCATTGCCTTATCATTATTTCTCTTATCCATCCTTAACTCACAACAAAACAACATGATTCATGCAATTCAACCAAGTCAAAACCAGTATTAGACTTGGACCCATTAAGATGCATTAAAAGTCGTACGAATTTTCTTTATTTTTATCGTGCATTGTTAGCGGACTTTGGCAAAGCAAGTAGAAAGTATGCTAAAAAACAATCGATCTATTCACTTTCTTCATTTTCTGGACTTACTTTTACGTGTCCAATCTCAAAGGCTAATATCATGTTATCATTGATATTGATATTGTAAATTATTTTATACTTTTATTGTATACATTGATATTGATATGGTAAATTATTTTATATTTTTATGAAGTATGGAAACAATAATATATGGATTTATTCAGCCTAAACGATTCTCTGGTTTTTAATTCAGACTTTTCTAAATTTAATGTTAGTGCACTCTTCCTAGAGAAGGATTGAAATGTAGGCAAAAAAATTTAGATTGGGGTTTATGGTCATGTCTTTTCTATGGTAACTGTTGTTTCTCTCTGCTGTCCGACCATATTTTGAGTTCTATGTTCTCCGGCCTCTCTCTCATTCTTTAGTTATGAGTTTTTCTTCACAATTGATATATGATTATGCTCTATTCATCAAATCACTTTAATTCCACACTCTTTTAAGTATCGGTTTCTCCTGGAACATGTAATATGACCTCAACTCCCTTTTAAACATATATGCATCATATTGTTATTGTCACTTTCGTTAAACGATGCAAGTGCTCATGCAGGGTTTCCTTCCTTTTCTATGTGACCCCGCTGAGTATGACCGTGATTGTGGGTTTTCACTGTAATTTCGAGTAGTAAAATGAACAATGAAGGCATCAGATTGATCCTTTCAAGAATCTATACTCTCGTATATAAAGGTTTTGAACCACGTCATCCCAACTCCCTCCCTTCAGAGGTCAGTGCGAAGAACGCACACTTCATGGCCTCATTGGATCTCTGGTTCCATTGTTATCTACATGCACAACATGTTTTTCTGGGTCTCTGGTTCCATTGTAACTTTGTAGCTTTGGATGTTTCTCCATAGACCTCGGGGTTCTACGGTTGAGAATGAGAGACAAAAGGTTCTTCTTTCACTCTAGAGTGAAGCATCTGAGGCTCATTCCCACAAAGTTTTTGTTGCAACCACTAAAGTTGTTAATGCTCAAGTTGTTGTTACAACCAATGTTCTTTGGTGGATAAACATTGGATTTCATGAAAAATAGTGGGAATCAGCAGTCAATTTCAACAAACGATGTTATTGTTCTATTAGGAATTAGAAATAGAAAATGAGGTGGTGGAGTTGCGTCTCACTGCAGGGACCAACACTTCTAATGCGGAGGAGTAATGTGGAGGAGTAAGGAAGACCTGCAAGATTAGCACTTCAACGCTCAAATGAGTGAGAGAATCAAAAGTAATGTGAGAGTGAGAATGAATCGAAATTTCTGAAATGAAATGTTTTCGCGTTATATATCAATTGTGTTTGAAACCGTTTGCGTGTGATGCAACATAGTTTACTTGTTTCACACGTCTTTCCTCTTGAAATTTGTCCTTAGACATTTTTCTAATGGTCTTGTGCACAACCCAGAATATAACAGTTAACAGAAGAGATTAAGAGGATATGGTGATAATTTATGACAATCAGAAGAAGATGATTTAATGACGCCACTATTTTGGTTTGGAACGGAAAATGAATAGTAAACCTTTGATGGTCACTTTAAATAATTGTTCAAATAGATTTTTAATTCAAAAAAAATTCTCTTAATTTACTTAACAATTTTATTTTTTATTGATTGAAAGACAAGAAAAAAAACTTAACGGAAAATTACTCTGAGTAAAAATTACAAAAATTCATTGTTCAATAAATAAGTAAAAGTAAAGAAAAAAAAAGTGATTATTATAAAAGTGTCGCATTGAAATTTAAATGGTGGGAATTTGATTCTTCCAATGTCAACTTTGGTAAGTGTTAGTTAAATATTAAAGCATTTTTATGTTTTATTCCTTTTCCACAAACTTATGTTGATGTTAGCTGTCCCTTTTTTATAGAAAAAAATAAAATATAACAAAAGTAAGGTTCTTTTTTTTTTGAGTTTTACACGTTCAATAAATATCACTTGATTGATAAAACATATACTTGATTGATAAAAAATATTATATTTGAATGCATTTTGTCTTTTATAAAACAAAATAAAATTTTAGATTATATTTTAAAAATTTTGTGCCACTTTATTTTTATATAAATTTTGAGACGGACATGTCTTTTATCCTCTATTTATATACGCATAAATCTATAATATTGTTTATTCTTTTAATATTTAGAATAAACTAGTAATTGCTTATCAAGTAGTATCAATGACTAAAACATATTTAATTTAAAAAGAAAAAAAGTGGTGGGGCAAGAATATAATTGCAAACATCTTTTGAATTTGAATATATGATTGGTCAACCGTCAAGCAACTATTATAACAACTACTTTTACACGTGAGCTTTTCATCACACACTCATTCATTTTTTCCTCTTTCAACAATTATGGAAGAAATTGCTGGATAAAAGAAAAATAAGTTATTTTAGTTTTCGAATGTATATTAACATATGCGTGTCAGAGCTAAATTTTAGTAAGAAACATTCTTAAAGCTTATAACTATTTTGTAAAATAATTAAATGTTGGTTCAATTTTTTTTTCAAATGTTTTAGAATACCGTATAAAATCAAAATAATAGAATGAACAACTTTTGTTTATCATAATCTTTTTTAAAATAATTGAGTTTTTATTATAGTATTTTTTGTTTATTAATATTAATGGGAAAAAAATGGATCTTTCAAAATCTGGAGCCTCCCAAAATTTATGACCATGTGTTATAAAGCTTGATGTTCTGGTATAATATTGGCCTGATTATATGCCATAGTTATAAATCTGTGCTGCTGTATTATATTTTTCAAGAGTTTATGCTAGCATATTAAATTTGTAATAAGATGTTTGTGGTATTTTGAATCGAATTTTAGTGTCGACAAGGATAGTTTGATATTTTGACAGGAGTTATGCATGCTGTAGTCGAAGTCTGTTCAAGTATGTTGTCGAAATATATTAACTTGTAATTTAAGTTATTATGTCGAATTGAGTCTTACTTGTAAGTTCAAGTGTTTAAGTTAGTTTATTCGCCTGTTTATTCCCTAACATACTAATTTAAGTTAGTATGTCGAAATATATTAACTTGTAATGCGCCTGTGTGTAAAAGCTCATTAGGTTAGCTAGTCTCTCATATTTGTAAGGGTGGTGGCAAATCCTACTTCGGATGAGAGAGGTTAACTATTGATATTCACTTGTTAAATCTGTATATAACTCTGATACATATTCAACTACACAAATATTCGATACACAAGAAGATATGATTAAAGAGGTTAGAATTAGAAATAAAGTAATTGATATCATCACTCGTTCAAATACCGAAACAGACAAAAGAGGGGGAAGTAACAAAGTAATGTTTGGTTGTAACAAAGGTGGAAAATACAAGGATACAAATAGTGGAACATAGTGAGACTAAAAAATGTGTATGTGCATTCAAAATTAGATCGACTCCGGCGAAAGATGTGTCTAGATGGAAGATTGATGTAAAATATGGAATTCATAATCATGATTTACCTTATAGATTAGAAGGTCATTATTTTGTTGTTAGGTTAAGAACAGTCTCATCTACCAACAGATCGATGATGTATGAATAAGTCATGCATCCACTTATCTTATAGTAAGCACCCCTGTATATACGGACATGTGGTGTTACCTCAGTATATGGCACTCCTACGTAATCAACAATAAAATCAATAACAACTTCCGTGACATCTCGAGGGATCCAAAACATGCCCTTGATGGAAAATGATGGCATGTGAAATAAAGATATCTCTGGACATCATCTCTCTATAAATGTTTATCAAGTTTGTGTCTATCTTCGTCAAACTAATTCTCTAATGAAGATATTATAGTTACAAATATTATAATTAAGAATGAAATGAATTGAATATCTATCCAAAAAAAATTAAAAAGAATGAGTTAAAGAGAATGTCGTGTATGGTCAAAGTATAAAGTGTCCAACATCACTTTTTTTTAATGAAGAGAATTAGAAAGGTAATCTTTTGGGATGTTGGTGTCCTTTCCAGAATCGAAAAAGAAGACCTAAGAAGGAAAAGGTTGAGTGACTTAACTCACAACAAAACAACATGTCTCATGTAATTCAAACAAGTCAAAACCAGTATTGGAATTGGACCCATTAACATGCATTAAAAGACGAGTTTTCTTTATTTTTATCATGCATTTCTAATGGATTTTGGCAAAGCAATTAGAAAGCAAAATATGCTACAAACAAACAATCGATCTGTTCACTTTCTGGCTTTACTTTTACATGTCCAATCACAAAGGCTTATTCATGTTCCCGCCAAACTAACTAAATATAGATTTAAAATTATTTTATACTTGTATTCAATTAATACTTATGAGTAAAATTGATTAAACATAGAGTAGCAATAGAGTGGAAACTTGTTAATATCAATCATTAGTGAGAGAAACAAAAAGTGGAAGAAACTTCATTTACTGCCACTATAAATTTCCCTATACAGAATTCAAATTTGTGATTCCATTCCAATTTGCACTGAAGAAAAAAAAGAAGCTCTAGTCACTTTCTCTGATGGAGACGAACACACTTTTTCATCTTGTTACCATTTTTACTATTCTTTTGTTAGCAAATGCAAACTCTGAAGGTAATAACCAGCACATTTTTGTTTTGGTTGATAAATACAAATAATGATTTCTGATGAAAACAAACAGGTGATGCTCTGTATGCATTCAGAACAAGTGTAAAAGATCCAAACAACATTCTACAGAGTTGGGACCCCACTCTTGTTGATCCTTGTACATGGTTTCATGTTACCTGTGATACTCATAACAGGGTTACTAGACTGTAATTTTTTCTATTTCCTCTTTTTTTCTTCAACTATTATTACTCTCAGCTCAAAAACTGGTAATTAATTTGGTTTCTCATCTCATGTATTGCAGAGATCTTGGACATGCAAAACTCTCTGGCCATTTGGTTCCTGAGCTAGGAAACCTCCGTCACCTTCAGTTTCTGTGAGTGGGATGTCACAGATTCGAACTCTCGTCTCTGCATTTGATATTTTTGCACAACTATCAACCGACTAATGATATTATTATTAATTGCAGAGAATTGTATAGGAATGAATTGGTGGGTCCAATACCAAAGGAACTTGGAAATTTGAAGAACCTGGTTAGCTTGGGTCTTTACCATAACAACCTTACTGCTTCTATTCCTCACACCCTCTCCAACCTCTCTAATATCAAATTCTTGTAAGTGATTTATTATTACAATTATAGTCAATGAATTATATAGTACTATAGTATTTGAATATGATGCTATATATGCTTGCAGGAGACTCAACAACAATAAGCTGACAGGAAGAATACCTAGGGAACTGACTAAGCTGAAAAACCTCAAGATCATGTGAGTGTCATTCTCTTGTTTTTATTCAATCTAGCTCATCTAGTTTCATTTGTTTAATAAATTATTTTCCTTGTGCAGAGACCTGTCAAACAATGATCTATGTGGTACCTTTCCCACATATGGCTCCTTCTCCAAGTTCTCTCAACAAAGGTAACGCTAATTGAGCGAGTGTAGAACTAACAACAGTAATGGTTCTTAAAATTATTATGTGATTTGATTATTTATATTCCTTCAGTTTCAGGAACAACCCAAGACTTACAGGTCCAGAGTTAATGGGATTCGTGAGATATGATGATATTGGAGGAAGCTGCAAATGAGAGATTGACAATCCTCAGGCAAAAATTTTGGTCACCAGATGTTTAAATCTATGGTACAAATGGTTTCGAGTATCAATTTGTAATATTGATATACTTGATGTATAATGAAAATAACATAGAGTAGTAATCATATTTGGCTACTTTGTTTTCTCCTTATCCACTTCCACTTTTCTCACATGGTCTTATTTAACTTTTAACTTACTGGCTGCTAAGTGAAAACTCGTCTTATCATACTTTACCCACTACATTTCTTTTTACAAGTGCTTGGATTTTTACTATATTTTATGATATTCACAAATATGTCTTGCAATATAAAATAGTATTCAAAGTTTACAAACGGTATTTAATCTAGTGATTTTGCAATACAAAGTGGCATAATTTGAACAAAGTTGAAGATTTTAATTAAGATAACAATTGTAAATTAGTTTGTGCAGACATCATATCATTAGCATGAAATAAAATTTGTTTGTTAATAATTGGGAAATTTAAGTAAATTCATAGCTCAAAAACTTATAAGAATGGGTACCTCAACTTTTCTCATACAGGAACTTGTAATTTGCTAATTAACATAATATTTAAAATTGATTCACAGACAAACAATACTCATTCAAGGATGGTTAAAGATCCTACATTTTGCAAATAAAAAGTAGGGACAGCGTCAATAATCACTTTCTTTGTGTTAATCGGATATTCTCTTCATGCAATTGTAGGTAGAACCGCAAAGTACAGCAAGATTCTCTGAGAGTTTTAACACTACTACATTTACAAGATCATATTTGATTTCATGGTTCTTTGATTTTAAGTTGAAAGACATTTGAGCCATCTTATTCAAGCTTGAAATGTGAACCTTTATACACCTAAAACTACTGTAATTAAATCATCCATATTTTTGAAATATCAAGATCTCTCTACCAGAAGGACCCACAAAATTTAAATACAACTGAATCACTTGCAAATGTGAAGCATAATTGATTGGTTACTGTCAATTGCTTAAATGTATATTTCAACAATAGAAGTTATGGGATTTATTATTTGAATAAAAACAAGACCAAAACTCGTTATAAGGTTGAATTAACAATGATAACAAGATAAAAGAATGAATAGTGAGTAAAAGGAATATTTACATAATTGAAACTAAGCAAAACTTGATCCTAAGCTTGACTCGCCGGTTTGGAAACAGCGTTAGCTTCAGCATAGAAAGGAATTAATCTGCACAACCATCCAAACTACGACTCATTGCATGGTATAAACATGTACATCCCTGAAAAAAAAGAAAGTCAAGATAAGTTAGTTTCTTAAAGAATTGGTAAAATAGGAACAAAGAACAATATAATAAGGCCTTTAACCTACAATAATAATGATGGTAATATGCCTTTTCTTAATTTAAAAAAATTCTTACCCGATAGTAACAGCATGAGTCCTAAATTTTTATAATTAAGAAAATGAAAGTACAGAAGAAAAAGATTTTATTAAAAAACAAAAACCTGCTTTAAATACTACCTCTAGTCCAAACATCCAAAGCAACAGCCTCGGCCATCTGATGACGGCCGACTATTAGATAATGCTATGGTGTCGGTGGAGGAGAAGCGCTATCCTCAGATAGAGATGATGTATGTGAGGATTCTCGTCCCCTTGACCCGTGTAACTCTGTAACTCGAGCACTACTAGAAGGTATGGAGAAACTACGAGCCATGGCCTGAGGTGGCGTTGGCAGTGGCGATGCAACACTTGTAACAAACAAACTATTTGCAGCAGAAACCCTTTGACCTCTAGACACCAATGGACCTGAATGTCCCACCAAACCTAAAAGCCTTGAGTTGGGCAGAAAATTGGTTGGAGGCCTTGGAAGTTCATGAAGCTCACTTATTTTAGGTGAAGACGCAATAGTAGGAGAAGCAGTAGGAGATACTTTGGGGGATGATGATGATGGAGGCTGCGGGATTCGAGTGCGCAAAAGAGGTCCAGAGAACAACTGAACACTTTCCATTGAGGCAGGTCTGGTAGGCCAAGGACTACTTGTCAATGGGCCAGAAAAGGCATGTCTTTTGATCTTTTTAGAGTAAGCAGAAACATTATCATGATTTAAGGATACAGGACTGTCTACCAAAGGAAGTGGCAGTCTTGAGAAAGCAGTATTGCTGTTGGTTTCCCTGAGTACAGATTGTGCATTTCTGGTAATAGAACCAGAATGATCTTCTCCGGTATCTTTTTTAGGTTTCTTTTGTTCCAATGGGGATGAATACCACAAATTCTTTGAAGGTTCATTTAAATTTGCCTGATTTTTGGAAGGCTTTGCGTTATTTAAACCTGATGAAATTGGACTCTTTGCATCAACCGGAGTAGGTAGCACATATGAACTGAATTTTCGTGATAAAGATGGACGCATCTGTCTCAATTTTTCACTGGGATCCGGTTTATTATCGGGAAAAAGTGGAGCAGATTGGCTTCCTGCCCTAACCCTAAATGAAAACAAATTCCTTTGAAGCTTATCTATGTTTTCCTGCAATTAGAACAACAAAGACTCATTATATATACTCTTAAGTATTTTTTCTTGATTAATTACAATGGCACTAGTGGCCCTTTTACAACTGTCTCCGAGAGGATTCGAATTTAGTACCTTGAGGGTATAAGGTTAAGCTCTTACCACTGAACTAACACTTCAAGTGTAATACTTAAGATAATTGAAATGTAACTATTTACCTTAGCAGCTTCAGCTGATGAACCTCTGGGAAGTGTAACTTCCACCTGGTCCAGCTGCAAAGAAGCCAACATAGTTAAGCCGCATAAAAATCAGAACGAGAGCAATTTAAGTTGTTTTACAAAATTAAAATTATATATATGCTTCTGATATAAAATTTGATGAATGAGAAGTTCATTCTATGATAACTTCCATAGCATTATACATTGCCCGGACAAGTTATTATTCCAACTATATTACTAATGCACATGTAGAAATTAGCCAAATTTAAACAAACAAGGATGTAAAGTTTCTGCCCATAACACTACAAAACTACTCTGCACTACTGATAACTCTTAAGCTAGTAGACTATGCCACCATAAAGGCCTCAACACTATATTTACCCCAGGAAAGCATTCATTTCGGATTTACTCTTAAAATATACTTGTGTTTTCTTTAGCATGCTGTAGGAAATAGGAATACAAACCCTAGCCCGCAATTGTAAGTCTACACAATGACTTGCTTACACGTATTAATGCTCGACTGTAAATGTAATAAGTAAATCTTCATTTGACACCCATTTATAGTTATGTTTAAGAAACACGGGAGGAGAAAAAAATTACAAATTCATGTTTATTTAAGGTACCTCCATAGAATTTTGTGATGTAGAAACATCTTGTTCCTGTTCATTATGTCCATAGTCAAAACTGAGTTCCCCATCATCATTCTCATCATAACCATTGTCGTCGTCTTCTTCATAATCACCTTCGTCCCCGTCCTCCTCTTCCAGACCACTGAAGTGGTAGTCAATGTGTTGCTGTTCAGTAACAGACTTCACATGTGGTTCTACTGTCTCAAGAGACTTGGCTGCTTTCTTGAAGAAACATGTCTGTTTTGGGGTGTAAGAGAATGCATGGGAATCATCAGCGTAAAAAATTATAAATAACTTCTAAGGAAATAGGGGATAAGACGAACGAACCTGAGCAGCATTGTGGCGTGCTGCCTGTGTTAGAAGACTACGAGATTGTCCTTGCTTCAGGGATTTCAATCGGAAAACAAACAATGTGGCCTCCTCATCATATTCATCACGAGCAGTTTGCAACTGCTGCAATGTAAAAGTTTCTCCTTTTCCGCCTTTAGACCTACCTCTTTCTCTGTATTTTGTTACCATATACTCATAAACATCTCTGCATATCATATTACAAAATGATAAGACATTTATCACATTTAAAGAAAAAAATTAAATCCAACAGAACTTATCTAACCTTTTTTCATCACATTGCCGCTTCATCTCCTGCTCCAGTATTAAGATAAGGAAGAAAAAAAACTGATCAAAATTACAAAGATCTTCCACATAGAATAAAAAAGCAAGAAACAGTAAATTGAATAACCACATTTACCCCCACTACCTAAATTGAAGAATTGAACTAATTATACTACTAGGTTATAGCGATAACAATATACTCATAGTTTCACATTTATAAAAACTTAAAGGCGTCTTGAAGATGCTAGAAGCCTCCTATGTTTGAAAACCTTGATTTGTGTCAATTAAAATGTCTTCATTTACTAAGAGTGAACCTGTGAGCCTATCAAGGTTTTAAAGTGTAAAGATGCGGTATGAATAAAAAATAGGAAGTGGCCCAGTACTGCTTTCTATCAGCACATATCCATAAAAGCCTTGCAAAAATGTCTTAGTTAGAAGATATTGCATTTTTTTATTAAATCCTTTACTGATCTATCCTTCATCACTTAATCTATTTATCAAATTAAAGCCAGCTTCAACTTCAAGCCATAATTTGAACCCTCAAGCTTCAGGTTTCGTATAACCATGATAACAGTCTAATTTACCCAATACTGTCAATCCGGATTGCAGAAAATAACAGTTTGTTCAAATTCCGCTAGGCTACAGTGATATAGCGCCGCTACAGCAGTTAATAGACAATATTTTGTACTAACTAAGTAGTGTATCGCATAATAATAGTGATTTGTTCAAATTCGGCTATCCTATAGCACTGCTATTTGACAACACTAAATTTACAGAAACTTTAATATTCTCTAAAAGCTTAAAAGCAAACTGCAATGAGTAAAGGTATTCAATTGCTGTTGGACAATGAATTGATTTGAGATAAAAACAGAAAGTAAAATTCGATAATGAAATTGAATTTAAAAAACTGACCTCAACAATTCGAAGTTCATTCAAAAGAGACTCAGAGGGAACTGTAATTGTCTGTATTATATGTGAACGCTGAAATGGAAAAAGAAAGGCAATGAAAAACAGAAGAAAAAAAAATAGAAAGGAAAGAGTGAATTGGGAATTACATAG